GATATCAGAAGAAAATGTTTAATGAAATAAATTAATAACAAATTCCTACAATTATACAGATAAGCACCACAAGCATTCAAAGAAAACAAAAAAAATTGTCATTTAAATAAAATTTAAGTATGTCCATGTGTGCTAGTACCATTGGTGTTATTCGACTGATTGATTTTTTTTGACGATAGTTTACTCTGCTAAAAAGATATTAAATAATAACAGTTAGTTAGAAGATATTTTAAATCTAGCGATGTGTATTTTTCAATGATATGCCTACCTTTTCAATTAAGGACGATGATGATGTTCTTCAAACAATTGTGTTCATTTTATTTAATGATTCAGCTTTTTCTTTTTGTTTAGGTGCACTTGATTCTTTTTTGTTTATTTTACTTGTTTCATTTATTGTCCAATGTGAACCTCTATGAGGCTCACGCATTACTGCTACCCTTTTGAAAACAAGTTTCATCAACATTGTTTGTCGACGATTAGACATCCTTCTATTTGAATCGGAAAATAGGGAATTTTATCTAAATTAAAGCTAGCGTTGATATAGAAGTAAATAAAAAAAATCAGTTTTTCTTTGTAAAATTTTATTCATAAAAAAAAGTGCGGATGAATTTGTAAAATCAAAGGTACTATACTCCGAATTTCATTTCAATAAGAACGTTTCGGTTTATATATTTGCTTGAAATTATTTTTTTTAACAAATGTAATTTAATACAAAAAAAATAGTTTAAATCAAATCAAATATTAATTCATAAGAAAAGTTTTTGTTTCTATGTAGCACAACATAAGTATCTAAATGAGTTTAGTCACTGTTTTTTTAAAGCAAATGCACGATAATCCAATTGACCAATAGCATAAAATCTTGAGGGTGTGGGTGTGGGTATCCCATTTGTTGTAGTTAATATTCACACCGACACCCACCCCACACCCACCCCACACCCACACCCACACCCACACCCTTTTTTTTACAACATTCGTAGCGTAGTCGTATGTATTGATATTTATTCATCTTATTATGTATTATTCTTTGTGTAGGTATTAACTTATCATTTATTGTATGTGTTTATTATTTAATCTAAATAAATATTATTATATTCGTAACTTTATATTTTATCTTGTCAATTATAAACGACAAAAGTATTTATAAAAGGAATAGTTCGTTACAATCCTCTTGTTGAGCAACTCAATACTGCTGTTGATCGGTAGTGAAGATCAATATTCGCAATGTAATTATTCTTTTCAGACTCATGACTCAGCCAATGGATGAAATTTCTTGGAAACTTTATGTTTAACATTGGTAGTGCGTGTTTTCGGTATTCTCATTCAAATTTAAAAAAACCTTTACAGTTACAAGTAACGCTCCTTCGAGGACTCGCTTAACTCTTTCTCGTAGAAATCCATTTTCTTCAGATTTACTGGAAAAACATATGAAAAACGTGAAAAGTTTATTTTCGATGTTTTTTGGACCTTCGACCCCTCTTCACTCCCCCCCCCGTAACCATGGTCATCTAATAGAGCTCAGATTCGAAGTCCCCGCATCGAAAAACCCCTAGAAATATCTTTTTAGAAAAATCAGTTTTCGATGTTTTTTTTACCCTGCGGACACACAATCAACCAAGCAAGCAAACAATATATGATTACTGGACTCTTCTCTACGAGAAAGAGAATTTGCGATCCATTCTCGTACCTCTCTACGGGGATGACGAAGAAGTATTTTGGCCAACCGTGCAAGAGTACGAGTGTAGATAGGAATTTAATTGAGGTGTGTCGCAGAATTAGCCTTTAGGATGTCCCCAGAAGTTACTACTGACTTGGCTCCAGAGCGAGCATCTGTGATATTGTGATGGTGAATATGATTAATATATCTATCTTGCGCAAATCAACAGTCACACCAACACCTTTTGATTCGCAATGTTTTGTTTATAGTAAGCATGAAAGAGTGTTTTTTATCCGTCTTGTTTTACACATCATTTTATGAATTTTCTGTGTTTTTATACTTCTGCTTACTCACGTATTTTATTATGTTTTTATTAGGGCATCTTTGTATACAGTGTCTCAATGATACACAGGTGTGTCATACGGCAAAGAAAACGCGTTATATGGATATTCACCATTATTTCATTCTCTGCTATCATACTTTCATTCTTCATTATTACGGAGCCAAAAGCTCGGATTGAAAGGATTGTTTTGACAAAACAACGGTCACTATTAGAACGGAATAATGAGCGTCTAGTCCTATTATATCGCAAGTATGGCATGCTACTAAATTTGACTGAATTTATAACGAATAGTACAGCCGGGAAGGCAATGATCTATTCATGTAAATCATATTGTGGTGGGTGGGGCGATCGTTTACGTGGCATTACTTCTGTTTACATTCTTGCTCTCTTGACACATCGTCGTTTTATGATCGATATGAATTATCCATGTCAAATTGCTCAAGCACTCGAACCGAATCTTGTCAATTGGACATATGTCCAACATACATCACAGAAAAATCTAACACGTTTATCAGTCAATACGATGCCGCCATGGGCAACTGCTGCTCGAACTATCATGGGGAATACCGTGAAGTCAAAAGATTTCGTCAAACATTGGTCTGGTTATGACGAAGTATGGATATCGACCAATCTTGACTATATAACACCGGCACTTCATAATCCTTATTTATCAACTAGAACTCGAAATCTACTCGGTCTTTTACCACTTCGTGAAGCCAAAATGAAAACGCTCTTTGCACTACTCTTCGAATTTCTCTTCAAACCAACATTACCTGTTCAAATTCGAGTTAATTCTATTTTAGCCGCATCTCATCATCGTCATCTTATTTGTTTACATATTCGTATAGGGAAAAATCCGACGAATCCGCTTGATACTGCCTCTGCCACTCGAGGTCATACAACACAAGACATGCTGAAGTTTCTCGATATGTATCTATTGAATTATTCTTCACCGTTTTTCTTTGTCACATCGGATAGTGGCCAAGCTATTTCAGATGTTTTGCATCATTTTCCAAATTCATCAATGACTATTGCTGGTCCAATTCTACATATAGATCATTTCGATCGAAAAACAACGACTATTTCCGATGGTTTTATCAAAGCTATTGCAGATTTTTATGTACTAGGCGAATGTCAAACGTCACTTTTATCAATAAGTGGGTTTTCCTTATGGGCCAACCGTCGACGATTAAAACCGAATGAGAATTTGTATTATTATTTCGACAAAACTAAAACAGTACAAAAAGGTTGATCGATCTATCAGTATAAAAAAAGTAACATTTGCATTATTTTTCATAGAAAAGCATTTCTTTTCACAACTTGGATAGGTTCTTTTCCGAATATGTTCTCAATACTTGAGGGTGTGGATGTGAGTTTGGATGTGTGGGTGAGTGTGGGTGGATGTGGAGGTTGGAGTGGGTGTGGTTGTGAGTGAGAGTTAGTGTGTGAGTATGGATGTGAAATAAACAGAATACCTACACCCACATCTAGACCTACCAGAGATGGAATCGGTACTAGGAACCGGCCGGTACCGGTCCGAAGTTTAGAATGGTAATTCTACCGGCAAATACCGCCCAAGCAGACAAAAGTTGTTAAAAAACACGTAAAAAAATCGTTAAAATGCCATTTTAACGAATTTTTAACGGCTTTTTATTCGTTAAACATTAAACGCGTTTTACGGCGTTAATCTTGACTTTGCTATTACGCTTTATTTTGTGAAAAGAGTGTGACTGTGAGTGTGGGTGTGGGTTTGGGTGTGGGTGTGGGTGTGCCTGTGGCTGTGTATTTTCCTCATGTATTACTCACATCCACACTTTCAAGATGTGAGCGTGTAGCTCGAGGTGACTAACTCTAGATGTGAAGCTGGAGATGAGATGATGGTGATGATTTTATTGAAAATAAATCAGCACTATATATAGTACAGCGCAACAAAGGTGGAGCTGGACAACGACCATCCAGCTTCATAAAGAAAAAAATGATGCAACGACAGAGATGATGAAATGGAAAAAAAAAGAAAGATGATGAAATGACAGATGTGACATATATAGAAGGAACAGACATATATGTACACATACGACAGGAGAAAAGAGAAAAAGAAAGAAAAGAAAAGAAGGAAAAAAGAAAGATCTATATGTGAAGGGAGAACAGAAAAGACGATACATGTGGATGAACGAGAGGATGATATATATCATCCTCTAACATCTCCACTTTTCACCAGGTGAGCGTCCACGCGAATGACCACATTGAACATGTTGATAAAGCCATAGATAAGACAAATCATCGAGCAGATGCAAGTAGATTATAATCATGTAAATTCCACTTATTAAAGTCGATCAGTACCAGTTGAATATGCATTTTTTAACAAGGATGCAGATCATTGACATGTACTTGATACTGGCCTGGTACATGATCACTCTCCACCAGATAAGTCAGATGATTGTTTCCCACCTCGCTGATAATTCTGAATGGTCCAGATTGTCTTTCTTGAAATTTGCTGCGAGCTCCTGGTTGTTTTACAAATACTAACTGACCGATCTCATAGACTGGCGCTTGCCGGTGACGATCATGTCGTTGTTTTGATATTTGTTGCTGTTGTCGTGCATTGTCAGTCGCTGCTTTCAGTATAATTTTTCGATACCTAGATAGATGTTCGACATAGTTAGATATTTTTGGTAGTTGTAGAACAGGTCTTGCAGCATCATAAACTAATGGAATTTCACGCCCAAACATAAGAAACGATGGTGAAAAACCAGTTGTAGCATGAACACTTGTATTATATGCATGTACCACACCAGCTAGAAAATCATCCCAATTGTCTTCGTTGTTTTGACATAACATTGCCAACTTTGGTCGCATCGTGGCATTCCATCGCTCCGTTTGACCATTTGTTTGAGGATGATAGGGTGTTGACAGGATATGTTTACATCCGAAAATCTTAGTCAAACATTGGAACACACTCTAAATAAAATCCGTTTCCAAGAAAACTCAAATGAGCTCGGAAACCTAAAAAGCTTTGCGAAAAGGTTTCTAATAATACCTTTGAGGTTTCCAAATGTTCGGAAACCGATAAGTTTTCTAGAATACTAAATTCGATGCTCTAAAAGTATTCTGGAATACCTTTTTTTCATATCGGGAACCATATTATCATCTTCGGAAACCACTTAGGTATCCTAGGAAACCAATGTTGCAAAATAAGTTCATTTGGAACCTGAACCAGTATTCGAAAATACCTCTTTTGGTTTTCGAAATATTCTATCGGAAACTCTTTCGGTTTTCGAACTTTATGTATCCGAGAAGGGTATTGTAGAAAGCCTATATTGGTTTCCGAGCTTTATGTTTCCGAGAAGGGTTTTGTAGAAAACCCGCATTGGTTTCCGAACTTAAGGAAATGTTTACAATGGTTTTCACAATAAGTTATCCTAGCGAATACTATTTCGGAAAAACTACACTCTAAAAAGAATAGGTTTTTTACTGAACTTTAAAGGTTTCCCATTGTTTCACCGAACGATTTTAAGTTTAGCAAAAAAAAATCGTTTCGTGATTTCATGCTGAACTTTTTCAAGTTCAGTAGATTTTATAAAGTTCGGTAAAACTCAGAAAGAACTATCTGAAAGTTTCGTCTGAGACACATGAAACCTCTGATAGTTTCGCAGTACATTCCGATTAATTGATAAACAGACTGACCTGTCGAAATGATAAGTATAGTCTGCTCTTTCTCAATTCTTGCTTATTCAGCAATTAATTGATATTATCTTTATAAAATCGAGTAATTTTATGCAACAAGAATATATATAATATAAAATGCACTGAGGATATTTTGCCGACGCGTTTCGTGCTATTTATTGATCAAAATCTTATAACACTCATCAGGGCAGTGCATTACAAAAAATTATTTCATATATACTCGAAAAACAATAATTATCATATGTACTCGAAAAATTATCAGAGAGTAATTTAGAAGAAGACAAACAATAATAGAATAGTTATTAAGAAGAAGACAAAC